TCATAAAATTTCAATGCGCATTAACGTTGTTTGATTGCGTATTACTTTTGCTCGTCTGTCAGGGCTATTAGTCTTTTTAAATTTTTAAGAGTAAAGAAATAACTGTATTATTAATCCTCAAAACTAATATTTTAAATAAATATTTTAAATAAATTTAGCCATAGGACTAATACTATTAATTGAAACTTTACAAATTTGCCTACTAACAGGTATAATAGCAAAAAGATTCAGGCATTCGGTATCGCCACGAAAAAGATAAAAATTTCACTTTTATTTTAATTTTTCTAATGTAATAATTGTTATGGGGAGCCGCTCAACGGTTTTATTTAGGCACGTCAGTTATAATGGGAATTCCCTAAGCCATCAGCGTGTAAATTACAGAGAAGTATTATATACTGACAATTTTTGTGGTATGTTATAACTTTTTTTCGTTTTCTCCCAAACATTTCTGAAACAAGTAAATTCTTTGTGTTATATATACATATATATGTTAATATTTTTATTAAAATAAAAAAAATAAGAGTAACTTCTTTTTTATTAAAATTCATTAATATAGTATATCTATATTATGATATTTAAAACTAATGGTATTAAATAATTATTTTAATGTTTTTAAGATACTCAAAAACTTCTTATTCTAAAATATCATGCATATTATATTAAAAAAATAGTTAACAAAATTAAAATTTCTGAACATATCGCATATATACATTTGAAACTAATAACAATTTGAAATAATCGCAACATAGAAAGAAATGCAGAAAATTGGTAACAAGAACCCAGTGTCATTCCTTGTCATCGCCTACAGAAGAGTTCGTGTGTGAACTGGCACTTAGTTGTCATATTTTCACTTTTATCTATCAGAATTTTAATTTTTCTACTAAAGGGTACACAGCCTTATTGAAAATCTGGAAGCACAATTTTTGGCGAATAAAAACAAACTTAAAATGTCAAACTTGTGGGAGATTGTAAAATAGAGCTCTAAAACTATTTTGGATTGACAACTTTTACACTTCGTAGCCATCAACTAGACATTAAATAAAACACCCCTATTTCGTCAGAAATTTACCCCTATTTTTAATATGTTCTATGATTTTCAAATAAATTAATTTACATTTCTCGTAAGCCATTTGTAACAATTAAACCATTGATTTTATTTAATCTTAAAACATTCAAAGTTTCTGTATTATCTCAAACTTTTTCTTTAGATCTACAATTTCATTTTTGGGATCATATTTTTTCTTGGATAAAAGTTTAGCCCTCATTTCTGCTGCGGTCATTGGAAGTTCGAGTCCACCACTTGAAGTTGTACTAGAAACCTTTATACTTAATTGTGGACGTGTTTCATCGTCCTTCTCCAAATGCATTTCATGGAAATTGTATGCGGTAGTCGCTTTGTTTTGTTCATTTTTATTGTTATAATCGTGTTTCTGTGTTGTATTTGYATCATAATTGGTAACAGGCTTTCTCATAATCATATCCCCAGTGCTTGCATTTGATCTCTGTTTTTCAACTTCGAGTTCTTTTGAATTTATTTTTTCATTAATAGACTTTGGCAATGGTAAAGACTTTTCAGCTGCACGTTCTTTAATAGATTTGTCATCAACTATTAATAATCTCACTTCATTTGAAATGGCCTTAATTCGCTGCACTACGTGCTTGTGAGACTCTTGACTTATGTTTACACCATTAACTTCAATGATACGATAACCTTCCTTCAATCCCGATACTTCTGCTGGAGAATTGACATCAACTTTCCCCACATATTGTCCGGGCTTTATTCTCTCTGAATGCAAATTAAATCCATATCCTTCAAAATCTGAACGTTTTACAATATGACAAACCTTAGTGGAAGATATTTCTGGGTAAACCACATCGCGATTTTCGTTATTTTCACTACGATGCATTGCTTTGTACGTCACATATAACACAGTTGATAAGCCACTTGAAAAATTGAATGGTCTGTAAAAATAAAAATATACATATAGTCAATAAAACAACAATCAAATACTGTGTTTCTTTTTTTCATTTAAAATAAGTAATTTGTGTCTCTAAAGGTTAGTTGAGGCAGAAGCGAWCAATAATTAATACCGGAAATGAAAGCTACAAAAAGCATTTATATATTTTAGTCAATACCACATACTATTAGCATGCCACTCTAATTAAATGATCTCCTGGGTTTCATTTAAGCATCTGACATACTTTRTATGTATGTATTGATATACACTGTTACTAAAACTGTTACTAATTTTTGAGATAATATGTTGGATGATATACTCGGTATAAAGTCACCAGGAAGTTCGAAAATCTTTAGATTATATATGTATATGGGGGCTAAGGGAAGTACTCGACCCGATTGAACCTATTTTTGGCATTCAGACATACCATTATCAACAGACGATTCTTTTCAGATTTCAATTACCATACATATCGCACCGATTGACCGATATTTTCGGTAAAAAATCAACTGTAGGCATTCATTCTGTACCTAGAGGCTTAAAAGGCTTTGGTTCGATTTGAAAATTTTTAGTCAAAAGATGACACACTTAAAAGGCATTACTCATACGTTATATTAATTGGTGCTTTGCTTGTATGCCGAATGCAGATGCACTTTCAAATTGTATTACATGGGAACTGTAGTACTAATCCAATTTCGCCCATTTAATGTCACCGGTGCGTTTAGTTGTTGAATTATCGAACTTTAAATAGTTTTTAACAAAATTGTTGTACGATTTCGAATATTTTCACACTATCATAAGAAGGGTTAAAAAATTGTGTCCTCTATGGAATTGAAGAATGCACTGCGACCTTAGGTCTATTGTGCCCTCTCCTAACTCACAGGGACTCGCTTAGCCCCAGCATATTGATAAAGTCCAGTATTCTGCTGGGTGCTAGCTAGGCGATGTGATCCCTATCCGGAAACATGGCTCCAAGGGCCTTCGACCTGCGCCTACAGACTGCAATGCAGTCGATTAACGGGTGCTCCGGAGTTTCAGGGTCTCTGTCGCAAAACCGACAGTTGGCGCAAGATGATAGGCCCATGTTAGCTAAGTGCCCTTTCAGCTTGCAGTGGCCGGTATAAAATGCAAGCAGGATCCTGAGTTTGTTTCTTGGGAGGTTAATTAACGATTTGAACCTCTTCTGGTTATACCCACCAACTAGCAGCATGGCATGACGCATACCGTGCGCTCGCAGCCAATACCTTTCCCTGCACTCTCTTTTTTCCTTGCGGAGCAGCTCCTTCACAGTGTGGGGACCCACCGCAATGAACGGTTCGGGCCCAACCATACTGGTGGAGGCTGCGGAGCGGGCTAGCTCGTCAGCCAGTTCGTTGCCGGCTATACCCCTGTGGCCGGGCACCCAGATTAGGTGCACCTGGTTCTTTGCAGCTAGGTTCAACCGTTCTCTGCACTCCTGCACCAAAAGCGATTTGCTTTCGTAGGAGGAGATCGCTTTTAGTGCCGCTTGACTATCGCTAAGTATAGCTATGCGCTCGTTTATCTCTATGGGTGATATAAATTATTATTTAGGTGATATAAATGTATTGGCTTGGAGGATATATACACTGCTGGTCAATAGGTTAGACGCACGTTTACTTTCATTACAATTGTTTAAATATTTATTATTTTAATGATGATTGAACAAAAGTTGAAATGCAAAAACATGGATAAATTAATGACAATTTAAATATAATACTCAAATATTTATTCAAACTTAACAAAATTGTGTTTTTCAAACATTTTCTTAAAGCTACTTAAAGAAAGGTGCTTTTTCTTGGTCATTAGAATAGACGCACATAAGCTTTTGAATTTTTTATAAGAAAATATTTTTTTCTTAACTTAATTTTTTAGATTGTATAACTATTTGATTTATTAGAAATAAAAAAATTATAATTTCAGTAATGAGTACTTCCTCCTTTGATAGTAATAACTTCATATATCCGGTCATTCATAGAATAATACAGGGAATCGATATAGCTCAAGGAAATCTCCCTCCAAACATTTTTAATAGCTGCAGTTAATGTTTTCTTATCTCCGTATTGCTTTCCTCCTTCGTGTACCTACCGTGTTAGCCAGCCCCAATCATTTTCAATTATGTTAAGCTCTGGAGAATATGGTGCCCCGGTCAAGACATTAATGTTTTGTCTCGAAATAAACGACTTTCCTACCCGGGCGTTATGAATGGGAGCATCGTCTTGTTAAAAAATAAAAGGAATTGGTCCAATTGTGTGCTCTTAATTGTGGAAATGCGGACTCCAACAATGTTTTGAAGCGAGCGCCGTTCATCTTCTGATCGATAAAAACCAAGTCAATTGTTCTATAAAACGTGATGGCACCCCATACCATGATTCCACCTTCTCGGCTGTGGTGGCGACTTAATTACATATAACTCATCTTTCCGTAAATCGTGATAATCGCTTCCATAAAACGCACCCCACACCATGCTTCCACCTTCTCGGCTGTGGTGTCGACTTAAGTAAATATAACTCACCTTTCCGTAAATCGTGATAATAGTATTGAAAGACATCAGGGCCATCTAAATTAAAACGTTTTTCTTCAGTAAAGACCACTGAACGGCAATCATTAAATCGCGTGCCAGATTGAACGTCCACGTCATGTGTGTTCTTTCAGAAGCTTGTTTTTACTCCGGCTAATTCCTTAATCTTAGCTGCAGACTTATTCGAATTTGAAGAAATTCTAACAATCTAAAAAGTCTACTTTTTCACGTTCTAATAAGCTCAGAATAGTAGCTTTTCCCATTATTACTTTAAATGTCGAAATTTATTTGTTTATTTTAAGTGCTTTCTCAATAAAAAAAACAGCACTTGTTTACGCAAGACCATGAAATGTAAAGTGCGTCTATTTCAATGACCAACCGAAGGCGCACGCGATTGCCACAGACATTTCTGGAATCTTCGAATGTACAGTTATTTTTTCGCAAATCAACCAACTATGAGCAAATATTTTTCTTACAAGAATCGAACTTGGATAAGAAAATAATTTTGGACAATAAGAACAAGCATGATTATAAATATAACAATTTATTTAAAAAAAAACTTTGGTGCGCCTAACCTAAGGCCAGCAGTGTACATCAAGCTTATTGGTGGGCGGGGCCACGCCCACTTTAAAAGGATTTTCAAACAGAAACTTGTCCTCCCTATTGTGATTCGTTGTGCCGAATATGAGTGATTTATCTTAATATACGGCTTTGTTATGCCACTTTATACGATTTAAATGAATGGCGTATTGTAGGCGAGACGGTGGTCCGAATATGTCAGTGTGCAATACCTTCTTATGGTGCTGAGAAACCAGTTTCATGTAGACATTTTAATTTATACTCAAGTTACAGCTTCCACGGACGGACATTTATATATATGTGGCAGCATCCCCACTCAATTCAGAGATATAGCGCAATTCTGTAAGCAGTCTCTATTCACAACACAGTCTATTTTTGGCGTCAACATGTAAGTTCTTATTTCTCAGTTCTTGATAAATATATTAATTACAAATCATTCTTTTAAATATACTTATATAAAGAAATCAAGAAAATTTTTTTAACTTATACAGACTGCAGATTAACAATCCGAGCAAAAATGATTGAAATAAGTTTACAAAATCGACTAGGCATTGCTGACCGTGATATCACTAATGTATGTATGATAGCACTTAGTACATACCATACATTAGTATTAGCTTATAGCTTAATAAAATTATGAAATTACTTGTTTACAGTTGCAGCTGCTTGATGGTTATACGTTTAATCAAACCGCTGTCTTTGAAACAGCGTGATGAAAGAGAAACTTTGCTATATCACCCATGACATCGAAATGTAATAGTGAGCAATTCGAAACAACTGTCAACAAACAGCTTTCAAATAACGAATTTTACTTAATATACAATTTTTTTTTTTTATTACAGTTACTCGATTGTTGTGTGATAAAGGTTTTGAGGCGTTATTCCAACCGCATTTAATAAACTTTGAAGGACAAGGCATATCTGGATCAGTGTTTCGATATCGATATATGTACATATGACTGAAATTGTACAAGCATATCGTGCGCGTGGGGATAAATTTGTGGTAAGTTATCGCAAATGAAAAAAATGTATCACAGAAAAAAAAAATTATAATTTGTAGAGACTTAAAATTCATCTTGAAGTTCCGCTACAACGAAAATATGTGGTCTTTATCGGCAGCGTTATTTTGGGTAATATGGCAAAGGATATTGATGGTTTTTGGATGTGCGTAGGAAACAAGAAAATTAAGAAAATTATAATAAAACTTACAAAGAGCTCACAGTAGTAACCAAAAGTTAAAGAAATAAATTTAATATTGTTATTGTTTTAAAG